GCTGTGCGGTTCATTCCCTGTAAAGGCCTGTATGTCTGGCCAACTTGTGGTTGTGAGTGGGGCTTTATTTCTGTGTGTCTGTCCCTCGGGTGAGAGATTCCTCCAGAGAAAGCTATGCATATCTATCATTCCTGGGGAAGGAGTTTATGTGATCACCCTGGCATCACTCTGATTAGGGTCGGGGTCTGTATCTCTCCCTGGGGACAGTTTCTCTGGCCCTGATTTCATGCTAGATACTGACTGACTTTATGGTATTCCAGCTCCCTGACACCCTGGGAAAGGGTCCAGCTTCCCTGCTTGGTTACCCCGAGGCTGGTCTCCTGGATAGGGGCCCCAACTGGGAAAGCAAGGCCAGTCAGCACCAAGTCTGCCTGGCTAGCAGCTGGGCACTGCTTCCTGCTAACACAGCATGTACCAACCAGGACAGGCCCCCCCCCAACACCCTCCCTTAAGTGGCTCAGCTGCCACCCACAACCCCCACGGCCACTGAGAGCCTGATTTATGGTCCTGAGTGGAGGCTAGATAATTGCCAGTGTCTGGGTCAGACCTTGAAGAGACCTCAAGTGGCCCCCCAGCTTGCCAGATTCAGGGCCCAGCAGCACAAGAGGGGAGCCAAAGTGGTGAGGAAGATGAGCTGGCAAGAGCCTAGAGGAGGCAGGCACAAGGCAGAGGTCAAGGCCAAGGACTCCTGGAGCCCCTGGAATGCAGGGCCAGCCTTGAGTCCAGCGACAGCAAAGAGGCTTTTTCCTTCACCTGGCTCTGAAGTTTCAAGCTCCTGCTAGGTAGCCACCTGAGGCCCTCACCAAATAGTCCCTCAAACTTGGGGCTATGGAAGGGCATTGGCAGAAGTCTGCAAGCCTATGTCTAGCGCGGAGCTAGAGGCAGCCTGAGGCTATACACAGGTTCCTCTGAAGGAAAAAAGCTGCTAGCTGAGCTATGGGGCGGTAGGAACAAGCCTAGACATACCTGGGAATCAAGTAGGCAGATGTTCACCTATCGTTTCTACGCTTAGAGGAGATCCATTGGTCCTGGTGTCTCTAAAGTCAGAAACTTGTTGAGAAGGAACCAGGCTTATGCAGATCTTGAAGCTAATGACCTCTAGAATCCTTGGCTCGACTCTCATATGAGGCCATTCAGAACCACTCTTGGCCAGGGCACAACACCGACCTGCCTCATTTGCCTGCTCACTACCCAGGACCTCAAAGTGGCCTCCCACCTCACAAGCCCTCTCATGCTTCCCTCTCCAGCACTGAGCCATGAAGCACAGTATGCTGGGTAAGAGTGGATCCTGTAAACAGCACAACTCAACAACAGCATAGTGACTTTCAGAAGTTCCTCATCTCCTCGAGGCTGACCTCCACCACCTCCCTCCATAATGGAGACCGGGTGGCCAGAGACCAGATGTGAGGCGATCCTCATCCACCCCAGATCTGAAGAGAAAATGAGGTGCTGCTGTGCCCACCTCAGAACCCACCCTTCCCAAGACACAGTCACCTCAGGCCTGGAGAGGGGACAGGGCCTCTGGGCACTAGGCCCAGCGTGGGTGGGGGGCAGTAGGGAGGCAGGTTTCCTGGGTCTCCCATGAGGACAAACAGCAGGCTTTGAGGCCTTGGAAAATCCCGCCCGGGATTCCAGGCCCTGCCAGCGTCACTGCCTTTTGACTATTGTCCCCATCGGAAACGGGCCCAGCCCCCGACCAGCAGGGACAGAGCCGCCATTGTGAGGCCCCAATAGGCTCAATGCCCCCTTGTTCGCCCTCTCAGCCCCTAGCAAGACTTGGAGGCCAGTTCTTCCAGTTGCTGGTGGAAAGAAAGAGCCTGCCTCCAGGCTCCAGCCTTCGGGTGGGGCAGGGCAGGAGTAGCAGATCAGCCCCCACCCTGTGCCCCAAGTGCCAGAGTCCTGGAAAGGAATTGCTGTCACTGGAGAACTCTTATTTGCAAAGCATGGGCTGGGCAGCCTAGTGGTCAAGAAACTGCACACACCCAGCACAGCCACTTACAAACCCTGGGGAAATCACTTCCTTCCTCGGAAGAAAATCAACCTCTTCAGTAAAATACAGTGGTTAATGAGTGCTGGCCTATAATCCCAGCACTCAGGACAATGAAGCAGGAGAATTGCTGTGAGTACAAGGTCAGCCTGAGCTACACTGTGAAACTGTCTCAAAACAGACAGAAAAGCAGGTCACGGTGGCTCCTGGCTGTAAGGCAGTGGAGGCAAAAGGATGGGGAAGTCTTGATCGTCTTCATCTGCCTCCTCCTCCTTCCAGTGAAAAGGATCCAGCTGGTGGAGGACAAAACAGGCCGCAGCTCTCAACAGGCTAGCTCAAAGTCCTCTAAGAACCAAGATTCTCCTTTGCCCCACCACACATAGCATGGAAGTATCAATTCTTTTGCCTTTTTCACGGGCTACCCTGTCTTTCTTTACATTTATTGGTACTAACGGTACAAGGAAAATGAGAGAAAACTAGTCTGGCCATCAGCTACTACCATTTTGCTCCCAACCACATCATTGAAGAAATGGAGAAAATGAGGGTGAAGATGAGTGGAGGAAGTGGCTTTTTTATTTTATTTTATTTTGTTTTTTTGTTTTTTTTTGGTTTTTTTGAGATAGGGTTTCTCTGCGTAGCTTTGGAGCTTGTCCTAGAACCCTCTTTGTAGACCAGGCTGGCCTCAAACTCACAGAGATCCTCCTGCCTCTACCTCCCGAAAGCTGAGATTAAAGGCATGCACCACCACCACCTGACAAGGAAGAGGCTTTCTTAACAGCAAAGAGCAGAGACAGGCGCTAGGGTTGCTGTTGGAACTCACTTGGGCCTAGTGTCCCAGGTACATGCTTGGGCGTCTGCAGCACCAAGGGGGAATCAATCCACCATGCTAGGCATGGGCTTCCCATGGACCTTTCTCAGGCCTGAGGCTGAAATGCATTCCCAGATCTCAAGTAAGGGTGCACAGGCAGGGATCCTTAGGGAGTCGAGTGGAGTTACAGCCTGGGAGGAGCTCTCACTTCTTCCTGACTCTAGAGCAGACCATTTTGCCCTCCCTGATCCAGCTCCCCACATCAAGAGGCCATGGAGATGTTGCCTTGTGTTTTGGGCCAGGGGTGATGAGGAATGGCTGTGCTGTGAGGGCCCTGCCTTCAGGGCTCCTGTGAAATTCTGGAAATGAATTGATACTAAGCACAGTGAAGGTGGCCAGGCCCTGGCTCTTGCTGGCCTGCCACAAGCCTTAGGTTGCTGTCAGTTTAGATTCATGGTTCTCTAGTCATCTTCTCCACCTCTCCTCCAGTTCTAAGTATCAAACCCAGGACCTTACACATCTGGGACAAACATTCCTTCACTGATTCACAGCTCCAGGGCCGGAACCTGCTTCTGAGCCAGCTAATTGAGACGCTGATGAGCACAGAGGCCAGAGAACATTTTTGTAGCACACGGGCACAGGTAGTTACTTAAGAACAATCTTCCTGCCAAGAATCCAAGCGCTGCCAGCTGCATGGACCCTGCCACCAGGATTGGCAGAGGTAACACTAAGGATGGAGATTAAACAGAATTTACATTAGCACCAGCTGCCATAATTCCTAGGCTCACAAACACCCATCAAAACACTCCTCCAACCCTGAAAATGCTGAGGCCTGTTCCTCCTGTTTTTACAAAGAGTACAAACCAAAAAAATCAGAGCTTAGTGGTAAGCGTGCTTGCTGAGTGTGAGGCCCCCAGCATCACCCCTTCCACTCCATCATCCCCAAATTTAAAAGGACTGGTGAGATGACTTAGGTGATGAAAGCACTACTGCAGGGGCTGGAAAGATGGGTCAGTGGTTAAGAACACTGGCTGCTCTTCCAGGGGACCTGGGGTCAATTCCAGCACCCATGTGGCAGCTCACAGAGCACAGCTGTAGCTCAGTTTCAGGGGACCTGATACCCTCACAAGGACATAAAGCAAGCAAAACACCAATGCTCTTAAGTGGTGGTGGTACACGCCTTTAATCCCAGCACTCGGGAGGCAGAGGTAGGCGGAGTTCGAGACCACCCTGGTCTACAAGAGCTAGTTCCAGGACAGCCTCCAAAGCCATAGAGAAACCCTGTCTCGAAAAACCTATATATATATATAGATAGATAGATAGATAGATAGATAGAGAGAGAGAGAGAGAGAGAGCACTTTCCCCAAGCTGGGACTCACTTGGTAGAAGAGACCCAACTCCTGTAACTTGTTTCCTGACTTACACACACACACACACACACACACACACACACACATGCACGAGCGCCCACGTGTGTTAACACAAACAGCAATACTTTTTGTTTTTTTCAAGACAGAGTTTCTCAGCGTAGCTCTGGCTGTCCTGGAACTCTCTCTGTGGACCAGGCTGGCATCGAACTCACAGAGATCCACCTGCCAGGTGCCGGTGGTGCATTCATTCCTTTAATCCCAGCACTCAGGAGGCAGAGGCAGGAAGATCTCTGTGAGTTCAAGGTCAGCCTGGTCTACAGAGAGTTCCAGGATGGCCAGGGCTACACAGGGGAACCTGTCTTAACACTCTCCAACCCTAAATCATCAATTATCTTTTATCCTGGGGTCAGAATCCTAAGAGACAGACCTGAGACCTGAGGCTAGATCTATGCCTGCTACTCTAATCCCCGAGACAGTTGCCATCCACTGTGGGCCCATCAGTCAGCAGTAACCAGAAACTTCCCACGTTAGGGACTAGTTCCAGATGCAGGTAGAAGGTGCACCTCTATAATCCCAACACTTAGGAAGTGAGGTAGAAGGATGGACAGCTCGGAGCCAACTGAGCTACATAGCAAGTCTATAGCATCTGCGCTGCATAGTGAGATGTATTTGCGTAGGAGAGGAAAGCTAGTCCCCATGCTTTGCTTAATGCCATGAAGCAGGCTTCATCATGACCTGCCACCTACAAGTGAGTAACTGAGGCGTACCAGTGGCGCTTTTGCCTTGGCTAATGTAATTACAGCAGACTGTGCAGTGACGTCAGAGAAAGACTCAATTTCAGCTACATGTCTATTTTTTATTCAATATATTAAATATATTAATCAGAAAAGTCACATCCTATAAATCCAGGAAAAATACACAAATATAAATCAGAACCTGCCATTCACCTTGAGTGACAGTTATATACATGTGGAAGGAAGATAGAAGAGATCTCAAGCTGGAGACTGAAAGGCTTGACCAGGCTGGTGAGGGGCCCCCCGACCCTTCCTCCCAACCCCCACTTCAACCTCTTCCTTTCTGTATTTACAGCAACTTCAGCTTATTTACAGCAGGATGGTATGTGTTAAAAATGTTTTATTTACAAAAAAACACGAAGGCCATGACTAAGCTACAAGGATAAGACAAACAGTGGGGTCACCCCCATGAATGCACACCCTCCTCCCAGGTCCTGAGCTCCCTGTCCATCTTCTGGAGTAAAGAAGAGTCAGTCTGAGCTCAAAACCAGGCTGGGGTGCTCTGGGGGTCCGTGGGCTATGGGCTTAAAGGCACATGGGTGACATAATAGCACACACATGTGTGCACACGTGTTCAGGGTAGGGATCAGAAAGACAATGTGTCCATAAAGATCTTGTCCACAATAGGTGGAGGGGTCACCAAGTCCTCCAGCTTGAGGTAGAAGATACGCTGCAGGCCTTGGGTGCAGAGGGTCCGAAGCTCAGGCAATTTACCCAGCAGGCGTGATAGGCAGCTAGCTGGCTGTGGCTCTCCTGCCACAGGAGCCATGTGCTCCTTCAGGCAGCTGGCAATGCGATTCTGCAGCTCCTCCACCCGCCGAGGCTCCTGTAGCCCATGTCGGTCTGCAGCAGGGAGTACAGAGTAAGGCTCTCAGTGAACCCCCTGTCCCCCACAAGCTCCCCAAACTCTTCTAGCATGTCCCACAGAAACCCATTCCCCGGACTGGCTGGCATTTGAAACCACTGTTTTCAACATCCCAAGGGAGAATGAGGCCCAGACAGCTTGAATGACTTAGCCTTAAGTTCAGACAAAGAAAATAAAACCCTAATCCAGGGTTTCTGGGGTACAGGTTCCACAAAGTTCTAAGAAAGCCTGGAGTCTCACAGGAGTAACTTAGGGCTGCCACCATGGAGGGCTGAGTGTAGACCTCACTACCCCTTCAAACCCCAGCTCTTCTGATTTTGTTCTATTCAGATGGGTTGCCTAAGACATTTAAGTGGAAAAGGGGTAGAAGCAAAAGAGACCAGAAGCCTCTACAGTTATCACCAAAGCCTGTCCCCTGTGATATACATACTAACACCCATGACAGGCACAACCATTGTGGTTGGCAGAGTGGCTGCCTCTTACAGAGAAAGGAACAGGGGTGGTGGGGGAGCATAACTTCTGGACCACAGCCCTGACTATCCAAGTGTGTCATGTGAAAAATTCACTTGTGCACTTTCCTGTATATTGTGAGATTGACAGGGAAGGTTCAAAACAAACCGAAACCCTACACGAGATACCCAGCATGTACGTGTGGCTGTATCTCAGTCTGGGGTCATTCAAAGGCTGATGTGACAGAGGCAGATACAGCTGAGTCCTTTCCTGGTCCTGACAACCCAAATGCTGCAGGCACTCTAGGGGGCCTAAAGTGCTAGATGCTACCTACCCAATGGCCCTGCAACCCTCATGCCCAGTCTGGTGCTTGCCACTCACCGGTTATAAGGACCAGAGCAGACAGGCAGGCAAAGGCAGGGACATCAACAGCCAAGCTATGCAGGGACCGTGAGAAGGCTAGGATGCTGTCAATCCAGTCACCAAAGCCTCGGGCACACTGTAGCCGGTGTAGCACGAGGCCTGAGCAAAAGACGAGCTTACCTTCACCCGGCTTAGATCTGGAGGAAGCAGATGACAGTCAGGACTCAGCCATAGACAGGCTGGGACAGCAGGACTAGGGCAAGGAGGATGTCGGGGCGGCAGCTCACCGGTAGGCCAGGCGGAGAATGAAGAGCTCCAGGAAAGCCGACTCCAGCAGCAGGTCTTGGTCTCCTGGGGAAAGCTCAGCAAAACCAGGGATCTTCTCTGCCCACTTCCGGATAACATCCAGGGAACCCGTGAGCAAGTCATAAAACTGCTGAACATCACTGGCATCTTCCTTCCCAAAGCGGGGCAGCACTAGCTCCTGGAACTGAAAGGGACCATGACAAAGAGGTGAGCATCACAAGCTGTCTCCACTCCACGCACAACCTTGTCACATCGAGGGATGCAAATGAGCCCTAGATTGAGCCCATGTGCTTGTCAATCCCCACAAGAAAACCCAAGGCTATGGCAGCTGTTTGTAACTGGCTCCTCCACCCCATACCCACCCCAGGGCATTTCTCCAGCCAGTCAGTGCTGAGGGGACTTCCGTTTTCTGGTGTTGCCCTGGAAGGAGAACCTTTCCTAACATGTACAAAGGCACTGCACAAGTTCCCAGGGGCCGGTCCGGTGGGCAGGACCTCACCTTGGAATAATCCAACTTGGCAGTGCTAGGCCCGGAATCCAAATGTGCCCGGATAAGAGAAGTGAGGAGATTGGTAGGGGAGGCATCTGGGGGCTGCTTGGGTTTTGAAGGCAGCCGGCCCCGCCGGCCCTTTAGGCTGTCTGTCCGGACAACTGCAGAGAAACAGTATTGAGGAAGAAAATAAAGGAACCTGGAGAAGGGGTCTTTTGCCCACACTGTACACACCACTTCTGAGAAGTAAAAGATGGGGAACTGAGAGCCACCCCACCCCACCCCACCCCACCCCAC